GTGCCCTCCTCACCCGTACTGGGAGTTCCAGCCCTGAGGCGCTGGCCCTTGTGCTCGTGTGGTGATGGTAGTTTGTTTATTTGGCGGCGCCTGGTAGCCAGGCAACCTGACAGCCTGCAAAGAAACTGCAGAAGATGTCTGGCCAAGTTCTGACTAGCGTCTTCAGCACATCATTCAAAATACAGGAGTCCTCCCACGTGTAGCCATATGTGCTGCCGTATTGCGTCTCGGTGATTGTTAGCAAGCCTACCTGTAGAGTTAGGTGGGCTCCAGCAGCTCGGCTCTAAAGAGGGAACTTCAGTTGTCATTGATGCAGATTTCAAGCCTGTCCCAGCTGTGAACTGTACTGCTAACGGTGCTGGAGGACAAGGTCTCCAATCAAGGTAGTGGCGGTCAATGGCAGTTTTTAGACATGACAAACCTGTCTACCAACTAGAAATCCACATTCTGCCAAAGACCTGATGAGGTTTTCCAGAGGCTGAAAGTTAAATAAGTCTTGTTTCTTGCAGTATGAGGCAAGTCATAATTTTCTGATGCTGTTAGCAGCACCTCGTTGTGTTTGTTTCTGCTGATCTTTTTTGATAGCCTTGACATTTGGCAGAAAGGGAGAAGGTAAAAGTTCAGTTTCACTTCTGTATTGCGTCTGGCCCACAAAAGTGAAACTACTCCGTGTTTTGGTTTTGCTGTGATCATCTAAGACAGTTGTGATGTTTTATGTGGGACTTTCTTTTTTTTTTGTTTTGTTGTTATTTCTACAATGCTTTTCAATGCGTATAGTTACATTTTATAGTTTATTCCAGTGTTGTGTGGCTTTGCTTTCTCTGTGCTGTTGCTAGTGTTTCCAGAACAGATTTTTATAAGTAACAGTTTTTATCCCATCAGAGATAAACACTGATATGGCTGTAAATACTAATTACTTTTAAAGAATGCTTAGGGGGTTGTCTTTTAAACAAGTGAAACAGTTTTCTCCCTCCCTCTTTGGTGCAGGTTGTGCCTGTAATCTTGACAGACCTGAACGGTCTGTTAGGTGTATCTCTTGGCTGTGTAGCTTTTTTCTTTTTCAAATGAGATCATGTATTTATGTATTTTGCCTTTTCTTCTCTGGGTTTTTTAGTGGTCTCCTTGGTGTCTCAGTTAAGATATCACAAAAAATGATGGAATAATTTTTAATGGAGATAAATTCAGCAAAACATATTTATGTATTTTGCTGAAAAGCATTAACCAGAGCTATATAGTTGTTGACAAAGTTGTTTAATGTATTAATTAAACGTTAAACAACTGTGACTTTATCAGTCACAACAACTGTTGCTTTATCAGTTCTTCATTCTTTTAGGGTTGACCATTTGACCTCTTACTAAAACAGTGGAAATCCTCCTGTGAATAGTCTGTGAACAGTTATGGTCCTGTTCGTGGAAAGATCACATGTTCTTTTTCTACTTCCGTATGTATGAAAAGCAGGTTGGAAAGCCCAGTACTTTCTCATGTGCCTCCTTGTACTGTATCTCATCCTTTCTTTTTTTTCACCCCTTGCTTTTTTTCCCCCCCAAGTTTCTAGTACACTTTCTTGTCTGAGATACAATTGAGAAATTATTACTCTGTTTTAGTTGGACAGTTCCTATCCCTTGTTCTTCCAAAAAGCAGTAGAATGCAAAGTAGAAAATGTGAGTAGATAAGCACTTTAAGACAAATAGTCTATTCTCTACTCAAGTTAAACTTTTATCCTAGGAGGAAAAAAAGAGGTTTTGGATTGTTTTTTTTTTAAGTGGTAGTGCCTCCAATCTCTCAGTTATGTTATACAAGGCTTTGTATAATTATGGAACAAACATGAGTTTTGTTACAAAGCTATTGGACTTGGAATAAAAGACAGCAAAAGGATGCAACAATGAGATAAGCAATTGTTCAAAATCGGTGTCTGCGGAAAGAAGGAAGAAGATAGCAGAAGGCTTTGGTTTTGTTTTGTCTTCAAGATTTAAGTGTGGAGAGAAATCTAAGAAGTAACTGAAAATGAGATTTGGACTGCTCACAGTGGTTGGTATTGCAGGTGGGGCTTTCAACTGGAATGAAGAAGTATAGGTGCTTAGTTAGGAAAATAGAAGGGTTTTGAAAATGTAGACAGTGCAGGAAGCTGTGGGCACAGGATGATTTTTCAGCTGCGAGAGCAGTCACAAGCATTGGGAGTGTCCTGAGGAATGCAAGGCAGAGAGAGGCTTGCATGGGAAGGTGAGGTCAGGGTGTCAGAGTGGGAGGTTGTCTAGGGCACAAAGACTAATCAGTCAGCAGCAGCAATAACAGTAAATAAACCCGCAATTTAGCCTTCTGATTCTTCTGTTGAACTGAAATTTGGGCACCTCGTTGCTTCAGCACATGGGAAGAAGGGGCTTATCTTGGCCTACATCAGATTAAGCTGGGACAGGTTGGAGGCCAGTAGTCTTTGACAAGTAGTTTTTCTGTTCTCTTTGGTAAGCCAAAAAGACAGTTTTGTGTGCTCATATATTCTGATTATAGGTGGCTTTTCAATGAGTTACTGTATTCTCAAACATCACTGCTTGCCAGTAGCTTGATTAAAGAAGTATCAATGCATTATAAAAAGCTTTTTGTATTTGTGTAGGTGCTAAAAAAGCAGAAGCCATGTTAGAAAATGTGAAAGTGAAAGTGACAAGCTTACGGAAAAATTCAAAATGAAATCCAAGTTTTGTTTGAACAAGTGAGCAGCGGGTTCTTCTGGCCTGAACTTCAGAAATGGTTATTGAGTCTGTGAAAGCACAGTCATGTATGGATGCTTGAATATGTTAGCTTAGAATCTGAAATGAATAAGTTTTGCCATTGTAATCACTGTTGTACAGACAGTAACGATATAGCTTTGTTTTGGAAGGCACAGGAAGGTTACAAAAGATGGAAGGTGGTCTTGAACAAACCTATGTTATTCTTGCTTTCTCATGCTAGTATCTTTTTTGGAACTTGAAGAGACACTTCCAAAACAGGCATAAGCATAGCTTTGAAATCGTTAGTTAACTTCCTTGCTACGTGGGAGAAGGTGAAAATAGCCAGTTCATAATTCTTGATGTACTTTAATGTTCACATTGTACATTACTCAGACAATCTGCCCATTTTTAGAATTGGCATTCTCTCATGGGGAAATTCCTTCATGTTCTCACGTTCCGCTTATTCTTGCCAGAGAAAATGCCTCTGATTTAAAGCTATTAATTATCTTGTTGTGTATGTGTAAAAAACAGATGGCTGTAGACTGATGTTTCTGTTGGAAGCCAGAAGATGCCCGTAATGTGTGCTGGGAGGGAGGCCACTGACATATGTATTTTGTTAAGGGGCAGTGCTGGTACTAGTTCCTGCTGAGAAGTCTGGTAATAGTGCAGATAGGAATTTGCATCCCAGTCTGGCACCATATGTGTGAAAAAAGCAACAAACAGTGGTGCACGAAGGGTTTTGGACTACAAGAAGAAAGTTGTAGGATTAGTTGAACTTTACAACTTGCAGATAGAACTTTGTGGTTAGACTTGATTGCATTAAAGAAGTTTTGGTCACTGGTGGTATTGAGAAGGCAAGCTGCGTACCTCTATAACACCTTAAAAAAAAAAAAAATGCGGTAGGCATTACCAACTCAAAATGTTGACAGTGGAGACAGGGAAGTTGTTAACATCATCACATAAAGCACTGGTGAGGTCTCATCTAGAATACTGGATGCTGGTGAGGTCAGTCCCATTTAAGAAAGCTTAGTTTAAGTGGGAAGGGTGGTTAAGACTCACTAGGGTGATAAAGGAAACAGTTTGAGTGAGGAAACTAGCAGGTTGACTTCATTAGTTAAGCAGAGTGAAGACTAGAAGGCGATGAGGATGATGCTTTCTTTCTCTGATCTATCAGAAAGAGCTATCAGAAATAAGAGCTGCAGGCATTAAAAAAGATCTGTAGAAATAAATTACAGTGTTTTCATTTTATCAATAGTCACTGTATGGTTATTTGGGTATTGTTCTTTTAAAAAGATAAAGTTATGTTTTCTCTTCAGAAACCAGACCATTACGGAGTTCTTCAAACCAGTTTTAAACCAAGGTAAATATGTGGGGTTTTTAGTGGAAGATATTTATCTGAGTCTTAATTATGTGAGTGTGCAGAAGTATAGTCCAATCGTATTCCAAATTGGAGCAGCAATATGATGAGTATAACTTAGCCAATATGTCAAAATGCACATATTTAAAATTAACTGGAAATGTTAATTTCCTATTAAAATTTATTTCTTTAAATAGTGATGTAATTATTATTTCAAGGTTGTGTCTCACAGTTAAGCTACATTCTTTATAAGAACTGAAGCTGTGACATAGATCATGCAATTCTTTGATATGAAATAAATCGCATGGCACTAGAAAAACTAAATTATTAAGTAAATTTGTTTTGGATTGTGTGTGAGAGAGAGAAAAAAATATCAAGTAATACAGTCCAATGAGATAATTTTTTTCCAATATTGTGATTGTGAATAATTTGTCTCTTCTTTAATCTCTTAGACATTGGCCATAAAAACAAAACCCTGTGCTCACCAGAAAGAGGAAATGTAAAAGATGCAGGAATCGGACTGTCAGTTGTATGCACTGAACGTTTTGAAAAGAAAATATCTTCTCCAAAGAAGGTCAGAAGAAAAAAGATGCCAGACCAAACACCAAACACAAGTCCTGTGATTGATGCCTTTCTGAGAGGAATTAAGGAGAAAAAGGACAGTCTAAACATTTTAGAGAATGGCAGAGCATGCAAGGCACTGGATTCGTTGTACCCAAAAGTTGTGATTCAAAAGCTCCTTGTTACTGCAGGGTCTCACAGCTCTTTCTTGGCCAAAAAGAATAAAACTCTCAAGTCAGAACAGGGAAGAAATGAGAAGTGTCTGGGTGTAGCAAGAGCACCATTTTCTTGTGGAAGTAGTTGGGAACAGAAAACTGAGCGTATGGATCTAGAAGACACTAGCTCAGACTCTGATAAATGGGTTTCATCATCAGAAGCTGATACTCCAAAAGCCTGTGCTTTTGGCACTGTAAACAGCACATCTCTGTGCCAAAACCCAGGTCTTCCCATGAAATTGCCCTGCGCTCCACCTGACTCTGAATTTAGGTTGTCACTGGAAGCTCTCTGCGGAGAAAGCAAGCAGAAGAAATATAGAATCAATCAATCTAAGCCACATGCTGTAAAGCCATTCTCAGGAACAAGTGTAACATATCAGGTGTGTTTAAAAGGGTTGCTAAAGGTGGATATCAGCAACCTGTTGTGCATGTGATTTTTTTTTTTTTTTTTTTTTTTTTAATTTGCCAATGTAGGATGATGTCCTTGGTGCTGTCTTTTTTGGATGTAACAAAAGTTTAAGCTCTTTTGCTGTTTGCAAAATTTTGCTATGTTTTGCTAAATTTTAGGTTGTGCTTGGGTAAGCCAGTTCTTAACTGGTTTACAATAAATAAGAAATCTTGGTTTAAAAGCAGAGGAGGTATTTTGGGTTAGATGCAAGCATGGAAGTGCAATGGAAATTGTAACTTTAAATTGTATGTTGTAGAAAAAATGTCTTTATCTTAAATGGCTTATAACCTTTTGTTTTCTTACAATGTAGTGAATGGAACAGCCTGGCAAATTTCTTCTAGTTAGAAGTTGCAGTTAATAACAGTTCAGATTTATGCACTTAAGCCACAGTATTTAGATAGAGGTGGGAATGGTCCTATTAGGTATGTAGTATTTCATTAGAGGTTGAATTATATTTACTTTTTTTACCAACCAGGAGAGCCCTTTAAAAGCTTGCTGGTTACTTGCAAGGAAGATCATTATGTGCACCTCCATAATGTGCTATGAAGCTGGGGGGAGGAGGGGGCAGGATTGTTTAGTTTGTATTTCCTTTTCTCCTTTGCATCCCTCCCTCTGTATTTGCTTGTCTGTGCTTTCTGTCATTTTGTTATCTAAGTTTCTAATGACTAGTTTGAGGAAAGCCAGCTGGGTTATGTTGCCATAGAGCCCAGGGATGCAAGTGACTAATGGCCCTATGATTGGAGAGATTTAGAACCGGAGGCCAATCTGAAGAATAGATACAAAATTTGGGTTGTGGAGAGTCCTTTTGTTGACATCTTTGCGGCTGTGTTTTAAGTTTGTCTTGAAGTATATTACCATATTTCTAGGGGTGTGTGGAACTAAGTCTGTGCTGGATTTGACACTTGAGTCAAGACATCAACAACCTGGTTTTAAAAAGGATGTGATTAACTTTTTTATTTTCTTCATCTTTACTTTTAGGGAAATGGATGTCCTTTAAGAGAAATACCACATTCTGGTTCAAGGGAGACTGCCTCAGGTAGAAGTAGTGCTGATAATACGGAATTAATTTAAATAATTGGGTTTATCCCTTAATGTCTCTCTCTTTTTTTCCTTGAAGTTACATATTTCTGTCTTCTCTGTCTCAAAAAAAAAAAAAAGACTGCTGTATAAACAAGGTTATTTCTAATATGTGGCAAGCTTGAAGAGGTTTAAAAGTAATTTGGAATTTTAGTGAAAACCAGATTGTAACTTAATTACAAGTACTACTATTTCTTTATCTTAAACCCTTAATTCATAATTATTTTTATAGTTTCTCTTGCATTTTGGAAAATCTGTGTTCTCTGTGGTGGTTAACAAATTTTGCCTTTTAGCTTAATTCAAAAAGAATATTCTTGTTGAACCAAACACTGAAGTTTAACTGGTATTCTTGTTGCTTTTTGTTCTATAGTAAGTATAACTGAATGTAAAAAGCTCATGTGAATAGAAGCTTGAGATAGGTCAGCAGGATGATTTTAAAAAATAAAAAAGGGGACACACACCCCCAAAACAAGGAGAATATTCCCATATTGTGGGTCCATCGTTGTGTAAACCTATTGGACTCATTGCTGCTGTGCTTCACTTCCTGTCTGTGCCAGTGCTGAGACTTCGCCAGCGGTGCGAGAAGCTGATCTGGCTGAAAATTGAGTTGGGAAGTTGTCAGTGGTATTAGCTCCATTAAGTAGCTTCCCATGAAGTGTCCAGGTGCTGGTGGTGCTTCCTGCTTAAGGCAGGAAGCAGAAAAGCATGATGAGGAAGGTGGGCTCCAGTGGCATAGAACTGCAGCCTGAAAACAGATTTCATCATATTCTGAATGCTTTTTTATGACCACTGTTAAAATTATTGCAGTATTTCCAAAATACTTTTCATACTGTTCATTATTTATAATCATATATGTAATTGCAGAAACTTCCTTTCAGTCCCGTACCTCAACTGAGCTATTGTCTGTTTCCAAAGACTAATTGATTCTAATGTATAGGAAAATTGTTCTACAGTGGCTACTGAGCTGCTTTAAATTAAAAGGGTTTAATTTCATTTCCAAGTTAGCTGATACTGTATTGTTGCATTATTATTGTAGCTAAATATTAATTGTGGTCCACTGTGTTCAAGCAGAATGGAAGTATTGTAGTTTCTGATAAAAATTCCAGTCATAGTTGACTTAAAAACATAAGTTAGTTTTTTAAAGGGTAAGCTGTTATGGTTTTGACTTTTTTTTTTTTACTATTGTTATCTTTTTAACATGACAACAGTGGTTTACTTTTTTCTTAAACACTTCATAGATGACCCATCTCAACCAAAGCAGGTTTCAAAACATGAGGGATCTTCTCCAAATGCACTGAGAATGTCTGAGATGCAGAAGAGCCTGACTGTTCCTTCACTCTGCCTTACATCTAAGATTTCTTCTGGGCAATCCAAACAAATAGACTTTCCTGGTAAAAGAAAACGCACTGCCATGAGTGTGGATGCAGACAGTTCAAATCAATCTGAAGTATCAAGTTTGAATGACCCCGCTTTTAGTAGATCATCTACAAAATGCAAAAATAGGAGGTCTGAATTTGTAAAAAATATTCTTTTAAAGTCTACTTGTGGTGATGTTCTGCAACTAATGGAGGCTGCTGCTTTACCTAGATACGACTCTGCTCTTTCAGAGGAATACCTCAACTCAAGCAATGAAAATGAGAGAAATAATTGTCCTTCTGTAGGTTTGTCATCTTCATATTCTGCACACAGTCCTGATAAAAATAACCACATTTCTGTTGTGGATACCAAAGAGAATCAATTGCAGGTGGCTAACTCACTTTTTTTCTTGGAAAAGTCCCTTCTTCTTTCTCAGGAAAAAAGTACTGTGTTGCCTTCTCCCCACCACTTAACACAAACAAAAGGTGTGGAATCTCATCTCCAGAATGCTGGCTTATCTCAGGTATTGGATGCTAAGAAGGAGCAAGATGGGAAAAGACCAGAAAGATGCACACATGATAAAGCTTACAGTATTCAATCTAGCAACAATTTTTCAAAAACAGAAGACAAGACTTCAGAAGATGCTTCTGATTCTTGCTCAGTGGAAGATTCTGGGAAACTTGCACTCTCAGAAGAGACTAGTAAAAGTGTTCCCCTTTCGTTGTCTTTTAAAGAAGGGTGCATGGACAGTGGCCATATGTCTTTAAAACTCTCAGGAGAGTTAAAAGTTGAAAGCGCGTGTACAGACAAGTCCAAGTTGAATGGAAAATCAAAAAGCAGCTTTGATAGTGAAGATGAGAATTTGGAATACAGTCTAGATGATGATGATGACGATGATGAAGTAGTATTCATGCCACTGCAAGAAATTCTCTCTTCCAGTCCCAAGCTGCAGGAAGGAGCCCTGGAAGAATCTTGTCTTGACGGTTCTTTGCAGGACACCATGACTCCATCAGTGAAGCTTCATGTAAGTGGCTAAAAAAAACCAACAAAACAAGAAACATTGCATCAACTTTGTTACGTTACATTTTTTATATGATTTTTTTTTTTATTCATAATGCATGAAAACGCAGAATTATTTGCCTGCAAAACTGGTTACTCAGCTTAAGGGTCCTGTGCTGTACAGTGCAACGTAGTCAGAGAAAGTGTGTGCTTGTTACTGTGCTTTCCCTTGGAATGGCTGAGACATGGGTCAGCTGTACATACATTAGCTGTCATACATTAGCTGTATGCCTTTTGGTGGTTTTTAGGGATTCTGGTTTTGCTTTTTTGCCCTAAAGAAACAGGCAGGATGTTACATTTAGAAGATGAGGGTGTCTAATGTTTTGATTTTCCTGATAGGTAAGGTGTGATTTTTGAGTTGAAATTAACTAGAGGAAACTGACTTAGATGTTGAGAGATCTGTGTGCTAGACTCCAGTCGTATCTTTGTCACGGTCTGTGATTGTCAGAAATCTGTGGATGAGTTCTTGATCTGTAAGTGTGATGTTTTCTTTGAGGTTGAATTTCATGGAAATCATATGTATTTTTAGAAAGGATTTAAAAAAGCTGAATGACTGCTTCTGCTCACAAGGGGATAGATGAAGTGTTTGAATCACAGTTTACAGGATATTATGGTGATGAATTGATCTGTGTTTTGAAAAGTTAGCGTTTCAATAACAGCTTGTCAATAAGTAGTGATTTTGAAGTTTTATTGTGAAATAATTTAATGTTTTAATTAGGAAGGTCCTGCAGTAGGACTTAGTGTAGCATTCCTCACAAGGTTGGAAGTGGCTGCATTTAAATAAAAAGATTTTGTACTGAGTCTGGCTGGGTTGAAATTAATTTTCTTCATAACAGCTGTATGGTGCTGTGTGTTTTGGACAAAACCAGTGTTGATAAGTCTTCTGGCTATGGTGGAGCAGTACTTGTATAGCATCAAGGCTTTCTCTTCTCACTCAGTCCCTTCAGTGATTAGGCTGGAGCAGACAAAAAGCTGGGAAGGGACACGGCCCAGACAGCTGACCCCAGATGTCCGAAGGGATATATTCCATGCCACATAGTGTCATACTCAGCAATAAAAACCAAGCACGGGGAGTTGGTCTGGCATGTAGCTGTTACTCAGAGTCTAGTTGGGCATCCTTCTGCTTGTGGGAGGTGCTGAGTGATTGCGTCACTTTTTCTTTTCCCCGTTACCCCTTTTTCCTTCACTAATTAAACTAGCTTTATGTTGACCCATGAGTCTTCTTGCTTTTGCTCTTCTTATTCACTTCCCTCCTTCACTGGGCAGGGAAATGAACAAGCTGTGTGGTGCTTAGCTGCTGTTGGGGTCAGCTCACAGCAGTTTTTCTACAGCAGAAAACAAACAGCAGAATACCTCTTTAAGTTCTCTCATCTTCCTCTCCTCCTGTTTTTAAAACTCTGAAACCGTTTTGTTTATTGGTTGACTGGGTTTCTATTTCCATAGGCAGATGTTGAACAGCCATAATTATTTTATCTGTCCTTACAATTCATTATGCAAGCGTGTTATAGATCAGACTTGTGTGGTTACGTATATATTCCACGATCTTAACCAATATGTCTATGTAATTAGTGGTTGAGTGATAAAGAGATGCAGCCTAGATCAAATGGTTGTGGAACACGTGTGTGACTGCAGCATTTGGCCTATCCTTTTTCTGCATAATTAATGGCCAAGTAAGACAAAACAGTTAAGAACTGTCCCAAAATTTCCATGGCCATGGTTTTTACATATACTAGCATTCTTTTCTTGTCTTGAAGAAGTGGCATACATGCACGTTGGAATAAAGTCTTGATTCCTCAGTTGTTTAGCAGTTGTTTCAGACATATTAACCAGATATAAAATAAAGTAAGAGGTCTTAAGCTTTCCCACAAGATTTTCCACACAAAGATATGCTGCTTGTTCCATTTGAAAGATGTCTCTGAATACCAAAAATTAATGCTGTATTAACTGGCTTTTTTATTAGCAGGTGGACGCTGACTTCTCAAACTAACTTCTGTTAACTTTGGGTAATAGAAAATCCCCAATGAGAGGGTATGCTCTTATTGAATTGTGTTCTTTGAAAATGAACGGGCTCATAGGAAGAAGCTTTGTCACTAGTAAGAGGCTTGAAATTTAAGGTGGTGGTGTCAGAAGGTCACTACTTATCCAAGGAACTGAATTGTGGCCATAAAAGACTTCAAATCTTTGTCTGCTATGAGCTGAATAAAACACGGGCTAATGGAAAACAAACTAATTTTGTTGGTGGTTGAGATTTTCTTTGTGTTTTTTTGGTTTGGTTTTTAATTCTACTTATTAGCTTCTTAATTTGGGTTTGTATTAGGATTTTGATTGGAAGCTTTGTTTTGTCTGATGATTTTGGACGTAATTTAGCGAATACTGGTGCTTTGCCCTCTAGGGACTCCTGAAAGTAACAAAGAGGTACTGAATAATTTTTGGAGTTTGTCTCATGCACGAGACTGCAGATTCCCAGGGTCTCAGTGGATGATAATAATAAAGCTGTGAGGTAAAAGGCTTCTGATGCTAAGGCTCTTTGTGAAGGTTAGCTGGAAGTCAGCCCCAGGGAGAGAAGCAGAGATGCATAGAGAAGCACAGTTATTTCTAAATTAATCTCTGAGAGAGATTTGACCATTATATAAAATTGTCAAGGGACTGAGAAACCTAAACTGTTAATCATCCTGTTATTCAGGGTCTCCTTTGAGCTTTTATCTTCAGGTAAAATATTAAAACTGGAAGAAGTTTCTATTTTGATTATGTTTATTGTCTAACTGAATGAATTGATAGTTAGTGGTATTTTTCTAATTTCTTACTGTTTCATTTACAGCTTTCTAAGCCTCCTGTTGTTAGCCAGGTGTCATATGTGAACAGCTTGGAACATCTCTTGAAGGAGAAAGAAGAATCTAAAAGGTTTGTTTCTAAAAGATGCTTTGAAAATTTTGGGATGGAGTTGTAGGAGCTTAGATTTACCTTATCTCCCTGAAACTGAGGGAGTTTGGGTAGCAGCAAACTTAAATTTTGCTGGCTGATGCTAAATACATCTGGTGGGACCTACAAGTGCGGCTTAACTGTAAAAGCTGAATGAGAGGCTCCTTCCAAGCAATAGTAAGTGATTTGTGATACATCTGTCTACCCCTCAAGAACTGGACTAAATTTACTGATTCCTTAGTTGTCGATCACTGAGCCAGCTAGCAGCTGCTGGTCAGGCATGAAACAGAAGTACTGACTGTTCTGGGTGCTTCAAAGGCATTTGTAGCTCAGTTTTGATTTCTGAAGTTGTGTAAACTATCAGTATCTGAGTAGTTACACAGTTGAGTGAACAGAACTAATGAGTGTTCTTGCAAGAGGTCTTTGGGGTATAAAGTGTGATGTGCTATATGTACTAATGGCAAGCGGTGGTGATGGGTATATGTGTGATTAACTGCTTTTATTAAAGAATACCCTAGTATTATTTAAAAATACCCCAGTAACTATGGGCCAACTGACTATGGAGTAGTAAATGCTCCTATAATTAATACTATTTAACACATAAAGTACTAGGATAATGTTTAAAAAAAAAAAATCCAGAAGATTAAAAGTTTTGTGCAATTACAAAAAATTCTGTCAGAAGTTGGTTGAGTGTATTTGTCTCTGTTTAAACTAGTGATTGAATGTGCTGTTGGAAATTCATGAGGCTTTGGGAAAAATCCACTTTGTATCTTGGAATAGGAAGATGCTTGCTTTTTGCACAGATGCAATGTCTCACATGCTTTTGCTGTGCAGAATTGGCTACTGACTCCTAGGTTGACATTCAGAGCTTAAAATTTGTTGTATTCTGTTGTAAATACTTTGTAAATATTTTATTGTAAATAAAATGGTGATCATATGTTCTGCTGCTACTGTTATTTCAGGGTAGATGAATTAGAAAAGCGGTTACAGGAAGACATACAAAAAAGGGAAATTGATTCTTCTGATGGAGAAGATGAGGAGAATGCCAGTGGAGATGAAGATCTCTCAGAAGAGCACAGGTCTTTCCAACTCCAAAACCAATTAAATCTAGTTCTTTACTTTTCTAGCCTTTTTTTCTAATCTGTTTCCATCAGTTGTTGTTAATATGTTTAATGTGAACTATTTTTGTTGTCTTTTGGGGGTTGGGTCGATTTTCTTGGACATTACTGTACTTTAACAATTCAGGTTTCTCATAAGGCTCACATGTTTATCTGAAAATAACTGTCTCAACCAGAAAATACCCTCTCAATGTTTAAATTCATGGAAGCAATTTTGAATTTTACAGGGCATTTATAAAGAAATTCTCAGTAATAGCTCATGCCATACCTGACTACCACCCTGGAGAAGATATATTTGATTTATCAACCTCTGGGAAAGTCTTCAATCAACATAACCTTGACTTAAGGAATTTTCATTTTGTCCCTCAGAATCCTATAGAAAAGCTCCTTCTTAGGTAAGAATATCTTCTTCACTCTGTGTTGTACAATTTTCTTCAGTGTTAGCAGATTTTAAGATAAAATAATACCTTTGCATGCAAATGAGCTCTGTCTCACTAAGTAGGCAAGACTGACTCTCTTTCCCTGGAATTCTCCGTTCCAGGTTAACTTTACAGAACAGTGAATTGTTGCTTGAAGCTTCCTTCTTTCCTCCTTTGGAATTCTTGAAAAGCATCTTAGACATAAGTTAAAAAATAGATGTTCTAGTCTCTTCCAGATTTCTGCTGTGTTGGGCTATTGTTGATAATCTGACCAGTTTTATGGAAGATCAATGCAGAAGTGAAATGTTAAAATGAACAAAAGCTTAACTATCCTGAAACAGAAAGAGGACCTTTGTGGTGAACTGATTTGTGACCTGCTAATGTTGCATTATGTCTGCTGAAAGACTTTTATGTGTTTTCATCCTGCGTGGGCCTGGGACTGAGGGCTCCACATAATGAGGATTGCAGAAAGTCACAGTCTCTGACATCTGTTAGATTCAGTCACTGAGCTAGCAGCGTGTCTGTATGTGTATAAACAACTGTTCTGTAACTCATCAGAATTTGTGCTCTATATTTATGAGGTTGTCAGGCTACAAATAGCTGGACAAATTCTTGCCTAATACCACAAGTTCAAATCCTGAAAAATCCTAGTTATTTCAGTTGCCATTTTATTCTGAACTTGCATCAGTGAAACTGAGAGAATTCATTTCGTCTTAAAGGATTTTGTATACATTTGTATGTGCTGTTATGGATGTGAAGAGGAGGAGGGTGGCTTTTTCTCATCTCTTGGGGAAGTGATGTTTGTGATACACTCTTTTTGGCTTCGGGTCTTTCTATCAATATGTTTTGAAGATCACAAGGATATAAGCTTCAAAAGTATCTTGTAAATCAGTGACTAGAGGAATGAGAAACGAATCATCCCTCCCAGAAGGCAATTATGATTTAATTGCTTATGCATTCTTCCCAGTTGGCACAGCTGGCATGTACTGGCTGTCCAGTTGGCGCATGGATGTCTTCCTAGCCGCTTGTTCAGTCAGACAGGTAGAAGGTATATGGAGAAGTTAGGATACAGATCTCTCATCAGCACTACTTGTTTTAGTAGATACTGAGAATAGAGGAGAGTAAAGAAGGGTATGTGGGAAACTGGATATCACTAATTCAGCTGCTTATGACATACCTGACTTTTGAAAGAAGACTAAAGCTAAAATAATTCAGTAATAAAAATGACATATTTTCTGTTCTTCCAAAAGTTACCTTTTGCACCTCACAAATTTGCACAGTAAGATTAGATTGTTTGATTTTTAATTGCATTCGTTTGCCTCCAGGCTCTTTAAAAGATTATTTTAAAAATTTCAAACAAATGTTTTTTTCTCTTCTAAAAGTGTTGGTAAAGGTTATGGGACAGTAAAAAAAAAAAATCTTATTCACTGGTCTCACGGAGCATAGCAGTCCATCTGTGTAGACAGACATAATGGTTCATAGTACAGTAGTGTAAATCAATGTTTGTTTGAAGCTGTTATTCTCTACTAATACAAATGTTTCCAAATTATATGGTACGACATTCTGGAGAAAAAGATAGTTGTTCTGAATCACAAGTAGGGTTTAATTACTGTAGTATTTCATATACGTAAGAGCATAAGGATAACATTTGTTTTGGATGTTCAGATCTCTCTTTTTGCTGTTGATGATGATCTGAGGGGTGGGGAAGTTCTTAAGCTTTTGTGAAAGTGCTGATTCAACCACTGATTGATTTTTCTCCTCTTCCCCCACCCCAATCTTTGTCTTACAGTTCTGGTGTAACACAGCAGCTTTCTTTAGCTATTAATGGTTTTCTGAGTTCTGCTTACAGTTGTATCTTGTGTCCCATACCAATTCTAAAGTGGCTTTTCCAGGTAAGACTATACTGTTCATGCAGTTATACTTTTGTCCAGGTATAATATTCTTCCTGGAAGGCAGTTGTACCAGGAAAAATAAGAACAAGTTTGTGAATCTGTTGCATTAACAAATTTTAAATCTTTTCTTTCTGGGTTCTGATTTGTTTTCCAGTCTGAAATACTTTAATTGTCACTAGGGGTCAAGTACTAGAGATAGCTTTTTCTCCACACCTTCTGAGTGACTGCAAAGTTGCACGTTCCTGTCCATCTTCATATGTGTTACTGCATTTGAAAAGGGCACAGTACATGCTAGCTGAGAAGAGATTGCAGGTTATAATAGAGTGGACCAGAGTGGGCCAAATAACAAGCAAATGTTAATCTTATTTCCTTCCACCCTTAAAAAACAATAAAAACCACCACCCCAAATGTGTTGCAGTGTGCAAAAGTACCATTTCTACATATATCACATTGTAAATCATCAGAGATAACCCTTATTATCAGATAATTTTCATTTGGAAAAGGTTGATGTGTGTTATGGCTCAGGAAAAAGTCTGGAGCCATTCTCGAAGTGTGCTGGCTTCCTGCTTGCTAGATGTCTGTTTCCATGTCTATATCCCCAGGAATTTACATTGTTCTGTTACTCACAAAAATGCCCTTCTCTAGTCTGCATTCTGTTATTTACCACATTCTAACTGTGCCTGAAACAAAAAAGAAAGCCTGTGAAATTGCAGCCTGTGTCTGTTGACTGGATTTCTGCTTTTGCCAGAAGGGAAGCATTTTCCTTCTCTGTGTCCTTCCTTGCAGCCAGTAGAAAAATTGCCGTCCGCCCCTTGTGTGAGCCTTGGTGTTCATAAGAAGGAAGTGTGAGCCAATTCAGCTCACTTACAGAGCAGGAAACTGTCCAGCACTTGAGGAAGAAGAGGAAGAGTTTTTTTGCTGGGCTAGTGAAATGCTCCAGGAAACCTGAACTGTACTTCATAGTCATGTTTTTGTAGCTTAGAGTTCCATGAAAACTAAGAATTCATTGTTTTGGTTTAGTATTTCATATATTCGACTTGGTCATGATTGGAAAAGGTTGTAATTAACTGTTGCCCCTGCTCCTGATCAAGGTGTTTGATTTGATCACAGATGCAAATGGGTTCCAAAGGGATACATACTTCCCATTCTCTTAACCCTCAGTACCTTCTTATGAACCAAGATTTAACATGGCATTGCAGCATTCTGATACTGCAAATAATTAATTTTAAAGTATTCATTTCTGTGCCCTGCTTGAAATAATCGATATTCACAATAGTCTGTTCTCCTTGGTCTATCTTGCTTTAGAGGCTTTGGGGTTGGGTTTTTTTCTGTTATTGTTTCTTATTTTATTTTACCAAAGAGTTGATTAATTTTTTTTTAATTAAAAGGAAACTGGTGCTGTCGTGCTACTTGGTGTTTGACATGTAGCTTCTTTTCTCCACAGATGATGTCTGTTCATCCTGACTATTGTGTTTCCACCCAGATTTTAGACAGATTGATGGAGATAACACTAAAAAATGGTGAGTATTTGAAGGATGGAAAACTAACCACCTGAATTGTTTCCCTTCTGTTAAGTATAGAAAAGTATTGGGGAAGAAGTAAAAGGCAGCGGCTCTGTTCTGTAATTCTGGCATGAATTTAGGCTCTTCTGTTAGTTACATAATGCACAAAAGCTAGGAGTTGGTCTTCGCTGAGTGTGTGCAAGTCGCACCACAGGATGCGGTCCTGGCATATATTTGCAAAGCAGTGCATCCAGTACACAGCCTTTTAAACTCACGTCTTTTGCAAATAGAATTGACCTGAAGAGGAGCCCAGTCTGCTCAAAAGTTTACTATCCTTTCCATCTTTTACTTTGGAAGATTCAGGCATTCATTTCATATCTTAACATCTTATACAAAATGTTTTTCATGTAGCCATATCCAGGATGTAGTACTGCGTAGGTTACTTTCCAGATAAATGGCAAAAGTGGAAAGAATCATACACCTGCACAAAAACACTTTCAAGGATCTGCTTCAGCCCACACTGCTGCTCGTGTCTTGTGTGTTTTGCCTGCCTTCATCTGTACTCTCAAATACGTCTCCAGTACAAGTTCCTTTATGTTCTCCATGTCTTCACGTTATTCAGACCCATTCATTTAAGCCTGCCAGTTAACATCATTAACTTAATGCAGTTCTCTTGAAGTACTTGCTCAGGCCTGTCCAAATTGTACCCCGTATTTTGAATCTTGTTTGCAATCACACTGTGAGCTGATACGAGAGGGTATGTAGCCTCCTTTACTTTGTGCCTTCCTGTCACTAAGCTTGGTTCTGAACGAACAGTTCAAGCTGATGAATGAGCATTCAAAGAATTAAGGCTGGGAGAGATCCCAGCAGATCACTGACCTTGGAGCAGGATTGCATAGGCTACAGTTGCTCGTGGAAAGTTGTCTAACCACTTTAAAATTGCCACTGTGGAGTCTTTAAATCATTTTGAGACATTCTGTTCCAGTGCTTAACTAAGGGTGCATCTTTTTTGTTGGTTTTTTTACTGAATTCAACACTGAGATCTGAACCTATAGTGTCTTGAATGTTACGTTCCATTGTATTTGTGTGTTGTTTCTTGCAGACTTAGCTCTAAGACACAAAATTGACCCAATTCAGAATTCTAGCAACTTCTGTTATTGTCTGGAAAAGTAGTTGCTGCAAGTAGTTTGATGTTACCTTGCTAGTTTAGTGTCCTACAGAGAATCCCCTGTACAGTTTTCAGACTTTCAGACACAAGTAATCATGCAAATCAGCCCTTTTTGCAATGGGCATTGTTTCTTATTTCTGTCAAATAAGTGAATGCCATCTGTTTAGCACTTGTGTTATTTGAAAACGGGCAAGTTTTCTATCTTATTTAGCTCTAATTCCATTCCCACTATAACACCCTTGTACTTGTACCTACACAGAACAGTAATTTATGTAGTCTCTTGAAAGTAAATATTGCCTTCTTGCTTATTCTGCAGTTTGTGATGAAAGAGAGCTGTGAGGGCAAAATGGGTGGAACTTTTAAGTAATTCACCTGTTACATAGACAAGATGTTTCTCTAGCATAAAATACTGTGTTAGACTACTTCCCCTCCCCGCTCCCCCAGATTCTGAAAATAAGTATATTGTTCGATGCACCAACTCTCCTGAGATGAGAGCTGGTAGAATTGATGCAGATTGAGCATATTTGTTTCCCTTAAAAGAAGGAATGAATGCTAAGAACTAAATTTAAAACTAATCCATTCCATGTCTTTTACTCGTAGCTTCCATCAGTGATGAACAGTCTAAACCGTGGATTCCTTCGCTAGCTGATGTGTCAGCTGTTTTTGTCAATATGGGTGTTGCGTTTAGATCTCTTTTTCCATTGCAGCATCTTCAGCCCAACTTTAACGAGTGTGATATTTTGTAAGTGTTTTCCTTTTTGATATTTATTGCTTAGATCCTGTGAAAGCAAGTCTTGTGCTTAGAACATAGAATCAGAAGGCTTTCTTTTATTTCCTCTACCTTCCATCAAGCCATGCTCTTCTTTAAATTCTCAGCTCAGGTCTTAATAAAAACAAGCCAGAACTTTATAAACAATGCCTACCAGGTAAGGATTCAGCAAACCGGAGCATTGTCCTTTGTCCTGCACCTTCCTAATGGAGGTTTACAAGAATTGTTGCTGCAATAGCTGGGCAGAATTGTAAGTAATGGGTTAGAAGCGAGGATAGATGTGTGTGCTCTGTAACTGAGGATTGTCTTGATTTGAAAGCATTTTGAAACGTAGAGGGTTTTTTTCCTTCAGTTTGCAAATAAGTTTTTGTGAGCCTTTAAATTGTTGATTTATCGTTCAGATTAGTGTCTCTTTTATTAGAAGTCAGATGCAAGAAACAGTGAGCAAACAACATCCAAAAGGAGACCTAACCTCTGCCAGTCCAGCCTTCTCCAATCTACCAGAAAACAATTTGATAAATGTGATTAAGGTGAGAAAACTCCAGTTAGTGTGGGGCTTTTTGGAGGGGTGCTGAGGGTTTTTTGTTGCTTCCTTTTGTTTTTTAGCAAAAGTCTGGTGTCTTAATCTAGGCCTGGGCATGTTTTGTGAGTAGATGGTATCATGGGGTTTCAGCTTCACATCCAGCAGGCTTATTGCAAACTTCAGTGTTTCCTTTCTCCCTGGCTTCTATTGGCTTCACTCACAACTGCACGGTTCCACTGCCTCTCTTTTCCAGCTGTGGCGCTTTATCAAATGTCTCTGCTCCCTTGTGTAGAAGAAACTATCCGTTTCTTTGTTCCAGTGGAAATGGGAAGGGGAGTTGATATTGGGTGGTATGTTTGATGCTGCCTTGGTGTATTAGCGCAGGTCTTGGGGGTGCGCGATCAGGTCCTGTGTGGCACAAGGTGAATGAGGTGGGACCTCATGGAAGGCAGGTGGAACTGTGACCGACTCTCTTCTGTGGAAGTGAGCTATTGGATCCATGCGCTGACCGTAGGCTGAATGAGTGCTGGTCACACTTCACAGGCTAGTTCTCTGTGATTAAAGGTTGTATGGTGAAAATATTGACTTTACAACTGACTTCAGAGTTTTCCTTGTGGAAGTATTTGAATCCTCCTAGCATAATTTCTGTAGAGATTTTATAGTTAAAAATCATTTAGATCAAAAGGAAGCACTTGGAGCATCTTCACTAGAGACAGAATACACATCTCTTGATTAATTTGTGTTCTCATTTACGCACACATCCCGTATTGTAACTAACCCATGTGATAATACTTGGGTGGGAAAAAATCTCTTGATTTATATTTTCAGGATTACTTATATATTTAGAACGTCTGTCATTCTTTCATTCAGTTAGATAAGGATTATCTGTGCAGTGGAGAAAGATCTTTCCAACTCCTGTAATGTCCAGGGAATATTGCCGTTGTTCAAAAGATGAGCCTCCAGCAGGTATAAAAAAAAAATAGAGTGCAGTTACTGGGAGATGTTAGTACACAAGAGTTGCAAGAACAATATATCATTTGAGGTGCATTTGAAGGTGGAAAACTTAAGTTCTCATCACGTTTTTAAAATAAGCTAAACCAATTTCATATTTTAATGCTTTTTATTTCTTTTAAAGTTTCTAGGTTTCTGTACAACAGTAATTCAAGGTGGATATACTGATCAAGAAATATTGCTGCTGCTTCTATTGCTATTTAAAATAAGCTTGGAGAAACAGTTAAAACAAATTCCTTTGATAGATTTTCAGTGCCTTTTCATAAAGCTTCTGAAAAATATAAAAGAATGGGATACAAAGGTAACTTCATAAATAATGTTCTTGTACTAGATTAATGAAACTGCAAAATAATTTTCAAGAAACTTCTGTTTTGATATTTTCATCTTTTCTTGACATTAGAAAAATACTGTTTGAAAATGTAATATGAAAATATTGGGAGCTTTGGATTTGTGTGAGATTTAGGAGGTGGGTGGCTCTACTTGAGAGCGTTTTTGTCACCTGACATTATGCTTGCCTGTTGCCTTTTGCAAGGGGACTGTTGTATTGAACTTAATCTTATATTTATTAAAATAGCTGTATGTTTAAAATGGCTCCCTGAAACAAGGAAGAAATGTCTGCACTAAGCTGATAAAATGTCATGAAAAGCAACCTGATCTCAACTACCCTACTGTAAAATAGTATTTAGCAGACTTAACTACAGGTGCAATGCAGAAATGTCTTTATGCACATAATCTCTTATTAGCTCAATTCCTTTTAACATTTATGTTGTGTATGTTTCTAGGAAGTAGATGTGTACTCTTTTGCAAATAAAACAAATACTCACCATATCTGTTCTTCAGTAATTTTTGAGGTTTGTTGTTGTTGTTGTTCTTTGAAAGATGCCTGAGCTCTGCCTGGCGGTGAGTGAACTCTCCAGTCATCATCATAATCTCCTGTGGCTGGTTCAGCTGGTCCCTAGCTGGATAGTACGTGGACGGTAATGACACAATAACATCAGAAATACATAGTATAATTAACAGTTAATTTGTATCATTAAGAGCTGGTTTATTTGTATAAGCTCAAAGTCTGATAATTGCAATAGGTATTTTGTGATGCTTAAAAAAAAAATAATGTATTTGAGTTTACTGATATGTTACAGATGTATGTGCATTTCTTATTTTGTGTGTGTGTATGTATATATATATGGCTTCTTGATAGCCTCTGCTGCAAAAAAGGGTCAATTTACATTTTTTGTGTAGTTTTCTGGGCTGCAAACTTCCTGGTACCCTATAGTAAAGAAAGGCTTAACAACTACAGATTCTGACATCTATCACCTACTCTTAATTCTTGTCTAAATGACCAAAAATAAAATTTTCTTTGGGTGATTCATGTCTGATTTTAAGTGTGAATCTGTTATGAGTTCTCTATCTTTGAAATGAATAAATTATAATGTATCTGAGTGAGGAGAATGAATCAGGTACTCAATTTCAGGCTTGGAGGCAAGCATCTAGCAGTGTTGCTTGTGCAGAAGAAAAGCTGCAACGAGATAAGGGTACTTGTGTTTTACTAGCGTCTATTAGTTTAATAGCACCTATATTCAGAAAATCCAGTTTAATAGTTGGAGGCACCTTTATGTTTAGGGAAGCAATGCCTAGCCTTATATACTTTGTAGAAACAGTGTGGATTTAAGAAAGTCTCTGGGAAACACATTTTTTTTAAATTGTTTTTCAGGGAAGTAAGAAGACGTCTTAGCCTAGTGATTATTTCAAAGCTGCTTAATAAAAAGCATATAGGAATACCTGATGACAGTGACAAGCAGGTACTGCATATCTGTGTTATGTGTGTATAATTTGGAAATTTAGAAAATGTGTATTATTGTTCAGGTTTGAATATGTTTTAATACTGAAAGCCTATTTTCAAGAACCTTGGGAAATGACCGATTCGGAATTTTGAGTTTAGATTAGTATTAGAAGTATATTTTTCAAGATGTGTGTAACCTGCATGTTCTGCATCTGGTAAGTGCAGTATTGTTTACATGCCTCAACATTAATTTTGGACGTTGGAAAGAAGTCTACGCTTCTTTCAGTCTTCCTGACTGATTTATGTAGAGTCACTCTTTGTTTTTGTAGGGTTGATCTTTTAATGAGGCAGCATACAAACACTCTAGTTTGTGAATAGTCAAAAACTACTCAAAGTATGAAAACCTCAGTTTTAATTAAAAATCCCTTTTATGTTCTTGTCTTAGTGGACAAATAATATTGTAGTGGCACTTGGTTTCAATTTTCCATTGCCAGTAAACCAGTGTAGTTTGTTAATGCTTGTATTTGTAGATGTCTCTTCTGCATCAATATCTGGTGTATATGAAACCTTCTAATCTACTAAAGAAGATGAGAGAAGGACTGGAGCAGCAGAATGCCAATGGAGACCACCTTCATACAGAACTAGAACAGGAGGTATATAGCTGATGATGCATAAAGACAAATGCAAAAATACACTTTTACAATTTTGAGAATGTTTATTTTAATTTCTGATTGAGGGCAGTTCTGTACATAGAACTGCACATAACGTTATTTTCTTGATGTTCATCTATATAAGTTAAAATATTATTCATGTTCAATTTTGATTATAGTCAGGGAGGAAGGAAAGAAGTAGCATGTGACAGAGGAAGTAAGCCACATGGATGTCTTGAGTCCTGTCTTCCGTAATCAGAAGACCATCCTCCCTCACTCCCTTCTGATGTAATCAGTGGAAACTGCTTGATGCCGAGTCAGACCTTCACCTGTAGGCTCCAGAAAGAGATTAATGAATCTTTTATGAATCTCTTCTCGTAAACAAGTATTAGAAAGACTTAGTATTTCCTCCCATCCAGAAATTGAATATTGGTTTGGCTATTTAAGTCTATCATGAAATCTCTTAGCAAGTATTTTGATCTGGATGTAGATGATGGGGAAAATAAAGCCAACTGCTGAATTTAATTTTCAGTAATTAAAACTACAGAAAGCTTTGAAGGTTACTTAGGTAACTTAAACCAGTGTAATACTGTTTTAAAATGTTTCTAATGAATGTACTGTTTCAAATTAGTTGTTTAGGCAAATGTGTAGACGTACTTCTCCATTGATCTGGCTGTTGGAGGAATCATTCTAGCAAGCAAAGATAGGGCTATATCTAGATGTGAAGAGTTATGATTGTGCATTGACTGCTAAAGCTCTGTTGACTTCTCTCCAGGCATACTACCTAATCTACATCCTCCTTCATCTAGTCAGTGAAGCTAGTTTCTTTGATGTTGTAAATTCTAATCAAAGGGTAAGTAACTTCAGTGGCTAGATCTTTAGATTTTAAAAGCCTATTTATCATGCACTTTGGTCTATTTTGGTAAGAGCTATCATGTGATAGAAGTTCACCAGTGGATAATAGCACTGGGGGAAACTTTTGTTCTGGGACAAAGTAAAGGCAGAACTTGCTGCAGAGAAAGAACAATCTTCTGCATTTCTGCAAATGGAACTATCTCAAAACAACGCTGTGGATCAGCAGACATTTATTTTGTTAATGTTTCTCAGAAAGTAACTGGAGATTAGCTCAACACAAATTCTGAGAAGTCCAATGATCCTATGAACTTTTGAAGTAGGGCTGAAATTTTTCAGTCTGGAAAGAAAATCACTTTGAAAATATTCAATAAAATATGTTCAAACACATCACAGTTTTCTGTGCTGGAGTGCAGCCATGCAGCAAGTGAGCTAGGAGTGTATCACTTCTGTTCTCTGTAGTGATACTTCCCATGTGCCATGTGATGTGAACATCTTGTTGAGTAATAGCTTCTGATTAGCCTTTCGGTAATCCTGTTTGGACTTCTGTGATCATTTGCTGTGAGTTCCTTGCTGCACAGTGTTTGTATACACCTTCTGCCCTGTGGAATCATTCTTAGCTGTTAAGAAATCTGTCATATGAACTGTTTGAGAGAGGCAAAGCAGTACTGTTTGGTTACATTTCAGGGCTTAAGGGTCTCAGTTTCCTACTCAATACAAAAAGATAATCACATATTGTAATCTGAAGCAAAATCATATCTGATAAAGAAAATAGTTATATTGTGATGATCTTTTGAGACTTGTTTTTTACAGCTGCCTTCCTGAATAATTGTGGAGAACTTGATCTTTTTAATGTTTTTTTTAATGTCTCTGTATTTCTTAATGAGGAAAGTCTGTTATTCGCTGACCTGTTAGCCATCAAGTGGCAAGAGGGGTGTCGCTGAATATTGTGCAGGCTAGACATCATAAAAAAAATCAATAAAATTATTTTATTTTTGGTACTCTTCCAGTTAGATAGGGTAAATTGTCGTGCTCTTGAGACACCAGCAAATGTTTATAAGTAGAATTTCAGCGTGTCTCACCTGTTCCGCAGAGTGGAGCGTCTTTGCAGTTGTTCAGTGAGGGATTGAAAACAAGAATTTTATGAAGAAATTCACAGAACGCAAAAGATCTTGGGAGCCATTATCAAGAGACTGTGAAGTTGCAAAACTGCTTTATTAAAGTAATCAGAAATTTAGAGAGAAATAAAAGATCAGTGCATAAACCTTGGATATTTTTTACTTGCTCAACCAGTTCCTACAAAAGAGAATTACCTGAGTCATCATTACTGAAAAGGTTATTTTTAGCTATTGGAACTTCAGAACTTTTTTTGCTGATAAAAGATCTGAATGGCACTGTGCTTGTTACTTTGGGGGCAGAAAGGATTTACAATTTAGCTAGTAGGAACTTTAAAATTTGCGATGTGTAGCTCTGCTATACTTTGAAATTATTTTTTAAAGTTCTTAGAAGTGGTTTATCGAGTGCATCTGATAGAGGATCTTGTTTTCTTTTCCCCCTCCGTTACTGTAAATTTCTGAGAAAATTTCAAATAGAAGCATATAATTTTTAAATCGAAATAATATTTGAAGAAAGCTTTTAGTTTTGACATGGAGAATTTAAATAGCTGTATACTTTTGTCGTTATTTAGCAACACTTACTGAAGCTTTGTGGTGCCTTAGATAAGCACATAAAATGTGATATTAGGGAAGATGCAAGGCTGTTTTATCGAACTAAGGTAAGACACATAAGTTGTTTTTTTTGGGGTGGTTTTTAGTGTTCTTAGTGTGTGTTGTTCCCTCATCCCAGCCCTGGAAATTCTAAGAGCTTGGGTTTTTTACTGGTTTCTGTCTGCATCATGTCTTTGCGTGTACATAAATATATGCCCATCTTAATGCACTGAAAATACTTTTTTTGCTAACAAAAGGACTCTTAACAACTGCAAAATGTGAGCTTGTCTTCCTTTTAGCCAGGCATCTCAAGTTCCATACCCACAGAGTTTCTTTTCCTGGCAGTCACTGGTAGTTGACTCTACTTTTAAGAGCAGAGGCTACACACAGGGCGCAATATGGAAAACTGAAAAAATATCCTATCTTGCATTTGTCTCTGTTTTAGTTTCAAATTAATGAGTTAGTTAAAAATGTTGTGGATTTAAGCCAACAGTGTATGTGATGTAGCATCAAGCTTGGATAATTGCCTTTCGTTTGCTTTGTAGTGTGGGGGTTGCTAATGATAGTTCTAATTTTGTGACTTTATTGCTTTGCATGCCATCGTAGCAAGCCAAATCAGACCAGTAATAAAGTGATCAACCTCAACTTGAAATGCCTTGGCTTCTTCAGCATTAAATCAAACATTTACAGTTGTGCGCATCTTTATCTCTCAAGAAGATTTTCTTCTTTTTTTAGTCCACCCGATCAGTAGAGCATGGATCCTTTCAACAAGTTACTGAATCTTGCTCTGATTTTTTTGTATCTTGGGTTGCTTTCACTTGTGTTTCTATAGCCCTTGCACTGAGAGGGGAAAATCTTACTCTGTTTTTCCCCATCACTTCATTTGTGTAATAATGCAGTATCTTCCAGAGGACACCACTGTACTGGGTTTTAACACAGCATGTGAAGCAAATCTCAGTTCTGAATGGCTTGGATTAAACACCTGCTTGTAGTTATAAAAAAGCACAATTTTTACGTATAAGGAATTCATGTCAGAAGCTGACAGTGCTGTGTAGTTGGCTTTTGTGACTGCTGTTGCAGGCACCTTTTCTAGATACAATCAGATTGTGTAACAAACCTAACTCACCTGAAGGATGAGGTGAGTGTTTGGAGGCCAGAGGCTTGCATGCTGATTCCAAACACTTAACCTGGAGAGTCATGTGCCTCTAACATGTTTGTGTGGAGTACGCGACTTCAAATTCAGAGTCCCAAATTACAGGGGTCTGGTTGGAGTTGAGGTGGGGATTCTTTGTGCTATCTGTAAAATTGTTCCCTCCCAGTAAACCTTGGGTCTTGGGTTATCTGGGGGTTTGGGGAGTGGGAGGCAGGGGGTTACAGTTTTGGCTTTTATAACATAAATGGCTAAAGTAAAAATCTGAATTTGCAGGTTAAAGATTTGGTTGCTAGGATATATGGGAAATGGCAAGATATGATACAAACCACTCGACCTACTCAGGTATTGTAATGAAACCTTTTTCTCTCTTTTCATAGTGCAGGCTGCCTTTAACTCATGTTTTAGAATTTGAAAATAGCAGTCTTTTAGAGAGTTGTTTGGGTTTTTTTCTTCATAAACAGCATGGCTGTGGAATATCCATAGACGTATTAGAATAGATTTTAATTAAAATTCTTCCTTTGCTGGCTTCAATAAAACCAAGTTTTCATCTTTATCCCTAAAAGTGTTGTTTTTGTAAATGGCTTGCGTAATACACTGAAATGCTAGTACTGAGTCAAGTCACAGGGTCTGTCTCTGATTATAGTTATTAGCAGATGCTTCGAAAAGGACGTTGGGGCAGGAATGCAGTAACACATTTCCTGCTGTGGTCTGGCAGTGTGTGACTTTGAGACAACTTGAGTCCAAGGCTCTATCCACATAGGTTTAACGGCTCTTGATAACTCCTCCCCCTTTGTGTCGAATTTCATGCCATGATTAGGAAAAGCCTTTCAGGCTTTGTAAAAGTATGCGGTAGTAAATAGTGTAATGACTAGTCTCTCATTAATATTTGCCTTTGTGATACCTAGCTGGCCCTGGTGGAATAGATGGATAATTTCTACTGATATCCAGAGTTCAGAGCTGTTTCTTCCAGTCTAGGGTTGTAAGGCTTCTTTTGTAATGTTATCAGACCAACTGTTTGTGTCCTGTCTTGGAATATAAAGCTACCTGTCTTGGAAAAGCTTAGCTTTCCAGTAATGTAGCGTATCGCTTAAATAAAATTTAAATTACGCATGTATGCTTAGTATTGATTTCGGTTAAAAATTGCGTAATCAACCATTTGTCTGTAAAGACTTAATCGCTTCCAGCAATGTGCAAAAAAGACATAATTTGTAGTGTGTGTGTGTTACATTTCTTGTTTAGAGGGGGAAGGGAATTAGGCAGTAATACATGGCTGCAGAAGCTACTTAGTAATTGATGAAAGTTGATAATGATGTAGCTCTTCCAGAGTTGTTTCAGATGTTTGAGGTTGATTCACATACGGGGAAACTGGGAAGTGTTTCAGAATAAAATTCTAGGGACTTGCAACACATTCTGGTGATCTCAAGCTAAAAGCACTTGCCTACTCTGTTCTTTACTTCTGTCACTGGTTTTCTGACTTGTTTTCTGTTTTGTTTTTACTCTTTAGGGAAAACTGCATGACTTTTGGGAGCCAGATTCATGAAATCATGCCTAGTTCAGGGAAAATAACAGGAAAAACTCTGAAACCAAGGAAGATGTAGAATGAATGGAGCTTCACCTTGGTCGGAACAGAAGAAATCAGTCACCTGAGTTAGAACTTGAGCTTGATTCAGGCAAATACTAGGAACATGAGGATATAATTTGATTAACATTGCTTTTAATACAGATACACTACTTCTGAAAAATTGAAATGGGTAAACTGTTCTATAGCCCTGTCTGAATTGGCTAGAAATATTTTTATCTTATTGAAAGCTGAGGGAAGTTTTCTTGTTTCCATTGTTAATCACAGGACTTATTTGAAAACCATATGTATTTGTTTTCTTGGCAGCACACACCTGCAAGCATTGTTTTAGGATGGCTGGGAAAGAACTGCCCTGTGACATGGAATGTGAGTTCAGAAACAGTGTTAGAGCTCCCCTGTTGTGAACAGGTGAGGAAGTGGCCCAGAACTGGGATGAATAACATAATTGCACATGTTAATCTGCAAAGCAGAACTGGTATGACCATCCACTGTCTCTCAAAAGTACAAAATACGGCAGTTGCGTGTGAGCAAGTGACTGCTCTCATGCTCACTTCAGGGTGGAAATGGAGCTTAAGAGTAGCTGTGCCCAAACAGGTTAAGTGGATGTTTCTTTCCTCTGTGGTTGTGTTTTATAAAATAACAAAATAGAATTTGTTATTACAGCGATGCATTCATTTTAACTTCCTCATCTTCAGACATTAATTTATTTATGCAGTGAATGTGACTGCACAGGAAGTATTTCTATTAGGCCAAGTTATAAATGAGATCTTACTACATCAGTAGTGTTGCTGTACTGCTCTTGATGAAACACGCGTATCTATATTTGTTAGCTGGCTTCAGCGTTTTCTCTAAATGGAGAAAATACTAATATCAGCTCAGTGGAGTTTTGAGGAGATGAGGATTTGGCCCACGTATATAAAAACTGTGAGCACCATATGAAGTCTGCATTCCTTTGTGTGAAGTCTTGCCGCACACGCAGTATGTGCGCAAAGCTCCAAGAGCTGTTTGTGAAGTCATCAAAGGAAGATGTGATCTCCTTTTCTGCTCTCTGGGCAAATGCCACTATTTAAATCTTATACTGGTTTTTCTGTAGGATATGTGTATATATGAAGAGAAAGTTAAAGTATTGAGTAGAAGCACCAAGTGGGATTCCCTTAACAAGTGAGATTTTTAATACTATCAACATGTGTGTTTTATAATACTGTTTCCTTTTAATTTTTGTAGATTACTCTGTCTTGTCTCGTACGATGATTTCCCTATTTTTTTCCCTACAATTTTCCAAGATGAGAATGTAAAATAAAGCTAAAAAAACCCCACCTTCAGATTTAATTATGTATATTACATATAAAGGAACTGCTATCGGATGGATACTTGTCTTATAGGGAAGGTATCTTATTTGCAAATTCATATTAGAAGTTTTGTCTTTCATTTCAAGTGTTAGCCTAAGACTGCAGCAGCTCTGTGCCCTTCCCAGGATAATCAGCTTATCTTTGTTCAAACAAAAGTTATGCTTGTGGCATTGTTCAGGGGGAGGGGGGAGGAAATTTTTTTTTTTTTTAAATCTCAACATGTTATTCAAGAATTGGAAGAATCTACCTCAAAGGGTATCTTTGTTTTGCAATAGAAGTGCTTTAGGCTAATAAAAAAAAAAAAAAAAAATCTGTGGTGGTATATAGGTATGGCAAAGCTATCCTTTGCTCTGCCTGTCTTAGTGTATCAACCTTCCCTCTGGTAGCAGTTGCTTACTCTGTTGAATATATTGTATGTAATTTTATTAATGTTTATATTTTTTTCTCACTAATGTTATATCAAGTTTAAAAAAAAAAAAAAGCAGGATGTTTATTGTATGTAATGTGTATATATTTTCTACCATGTAAAGTGTAAGTTACTGTCCTGTATATTTTGGAGAAGGAAAGGGCAGGGGTTTGGATGAACAGCTTTTGTACTGCAGTTCAAGCACATTGAAACTGCTGGGCTTTTTTTCCAGATTAAATAACCACTTTGATATTTACTTTTATTTAATAGAACAATGAGAAAAAAAAAAAAAAAACAGACATGCTTTTCTAATTAAATGTCCCTGGACAAAGTGGGCATGCCTCAGCTCTGTTTCACAAAAAAAAAAAAAAAATTGGCGGTGCGTCCTATTTTGGTCTTACAGCGCACATTGTAGTTCTTGGGCTGACAGCTGATGGGCTTACTATAAATGGAGACAGTCTCAAAGTCATTCCTAGCTCAGCCAGTCCTGTGTTTTCATGCTTAATGCCTGTGTATACATCCTGGCATTTTCCCTCTCTCTCTCCCCCTCCTGCTTTGTCTGGACTTTTCTTCCATCTGTGTGGTAGCTGAGGAGTAATTCCCCAGTCGCTGAAGTCTAGACGTGGGTTGAATTGGAGCTCGTTCGTATCCTTACAGAGATCATCCCAAAGTGTCGCTGCCGAGTCTTTACGACTCGAGGGACTGCTGAGCCGCGCACTGCTTCAGGACTCCTGGAAATGAAACGGCAAACCTGCTGCTGTTGTGTTTTGCAGACTCATTTACTGGCCCCCAGCCAGAAGTTACATGCGTTGGAAAAGGCTGTTTGCACAGTGGATGTCTTAACTGCTTTGGTTGTCTTCAGATAAGCGTTTTGCACTGAGGTTTGTCTTTTGATATTACGTTGGCTGTATTAAGAGCCATGTTATCTCATTTCATGTGAAATTAGGTGCACTTTATTGCAGTAATCACAGACAAAAAAAAATTAAAGGCTGACTATAAAATATACATTTGTGTCTTTGCCTCTTTATTTTTATTTTCTGATGCCTCTGTGCACGGCTCCAACCTAAAGCCAGAAGCTTTTTTGTAAGAAACCTGCCAGCAAAGCTGTTTGCACATATATGCTCGCTGTTCCTGTTGTGGAACTTAGTAATGGATGGGGATTTTGGAAGTGATTAATGACTTGCAGGTAGGTCTGGCTGAAGGTCAGTAGGACACGTACGCTTCATTGACGCGGTGGCTGCAGGAACTCTCTGAAGTCCCCAACGCTGGTAGTTGAGCTGAGAATATCTTTGGGAAAAGCAGATGACTGGAACAAACACATCAAGTGTGCTGTTGGTATCGGCAGAGCTGCTGGTGAGACTGGTTCATGACAGGACTTTAGAGGTAGCATTCCAACATGGAAAAGACCTTTTTAATAATGAGGGATGGATACTGCAGTGTTAATTTTCCGAGCACAGAGAAGCCGGGCCTGTCTCCATCAAAGGTGCCTGTACTTAGCATCACCTAGCAGCCAGCTCTGCGTCTTCAGAGGTGGCCTGGCCCAGGGGTGGGCAGCAGGCACATGGGCTGCAAGAGGGACTACGCTGTCTCTTGAAGGTTCAAGCAAGTGCTTCTAAGGTAGTTGGGTTACAGAGAGGATTCTTCTGCTGACCTCATCACTAGCAGGAACACTTCAAGTCACAGGATTAACGCTGGTCTTCTATGTTTGGTTCTCTTCTTTCCCAGGAGAACTATATATATAGCGAATCACAGAATGGTTAGGGTTTGAAGGGACCTCTGGAGATCATCTAGTCCAACCCCGCCGCCAGAGCAGGGTCACCTACAACAGGTTGCACAGGACAGCGTCCAGGTGGGTTTTGAATGTCTCCAGAGTGGGAGACTCCACAACCTCTCTGGGCAGCCTGTGCCAGTGCTCCACTACCCTCAAGGTAAAGAAGTTCCTCCTCATGTTAAGATGGAACTTCCTATGTTTAAGCTTGTGCCCATTACCCCTAGTCCTATCACTGGGCACCACTGAAAAAAGACTGCTCCCATCCCCCTGGCATCCTCCCATTAAGTATTTGTAAGTATTAGTAAGATCCCCCCTCAATCTTCTTTTCTCTAGGCTAAAGAGGTCCAAGTCCCTAAGCCTTTCCTCATATGAGAGATGTTCCAATCCCCTAATCATCTTTGTAGCCCTTTGCTGGACCCTCTCCAGCAGATCCCTGTCCTTCTTGAACTGGGGAGCCCAGAACTGGACGCGGTATTCTAGATGCGGCCTCACCAGGGCAGAGTAGAGGGGGAGGATGACCTCCCTTGACCTGCTGGCCACACTTCTTGATGCAACCCAGGATGCCATATAGCATAGTATGGCTAGGGTTTGTGTTTTGTTGGGTTTTGGGTTCTTTTTCCTTCTACTGGCTTTTAGTGTTTGTGTGACTTTTCCACTGGAAGGGGCAAATCAGAACGGGTGCTGCTGGAGATGCCCCTCTTCATTCTTCTGGGGACTCGGTCCTTGGGCTTATGAGCTCTTGAGAAAACCTTCTTGCCTGAAGTTTCCCCAATGGGAAACACCCCACTGTGCCAGAGGGGCAGCTTGTGGCACTGGTATATCAGCGCTGGTTTCAGCGTCCCAAAAAAAGAGAAAAGGCCCTTGGGACTGGGTGGGCACAGTGTGGGGAGCCAGCCTGGGGGTAGAGAAGAGGCTGGATGAGCTTGTAGGACTCTGGCAGCTACTGGGAGATCCTCCCTTCCCGCCCTCCAAAGGAGCTGCTCAGAGAGGTCAGACAATCATTAGTGGATTTAGCTCATTCCTTGTGGTTTAAATTATCAGAACGCTCTTAATGACGTTCAAATTGCTGCTTTCCCATCTTCCCCCCGGGCTGTGGAATACCTTGACGTTTTACCTCGTGGATGTTTTGCCAGCTTTTCTGGTGGGGCCCCTTCTTATCTAATGTTGAAAAGGGCTTTCAATGCCGGGGAACAGCGTGGGCTGCCGATGGGGGGGAGGATCCTAGAGAAAGTAAATTCCTCCAAGGGCTTCTCCTTGCGGAGGTGCTTTTAGTTTTGCCTGACTGCCGCTTTTCCCAGCCAGCGCTTCCTCGCCTTTGCAGTGAGGAGTTTGAAAGGGAATACTTTATCTGATATCAAAAAGTAGGGCTGCCTGGTGAGAGAAGAAAAACATTTGCATCTTCCTGTCATGATATTTTGGTCTGGGTGCTGAAAGC